CCGCATAACGGAGTGAGCTCCCATTACTTGTCCCAGCTTCTGACAACCTAGCAGTTCGAAAGCACTGCTTTCGAATGCAAATAGAAAAATAGAGGCCGCTTTGGTGGGAAGGTAACAGTGCTCCATGCGCCTTTGCCATTGAGTCATGTTGGCCATGTGACCACAAAGACATCTTTAGACAGTGCTGGCTCTTCGGCTTTGAAACAGAGGTGAGCGCTGCCCCCTATTGTCAGGAACAACTAATACATATGTGCGAGGAGAACCTTTACCTTAAGGCACTGGAATATGTGTTTATATGTGGATACGCACACATATATACCTGCCTGCTGTTTTGGGATTAGCTTTTTGTAAATCTGCTGAATTATCTTTAAGGGAACACCTACAATAGTTGTGATTCTATCTAGTCATGCCGGCCACATGACCAGGGAGATGTCTTCGGACAGTGCTGGCTCTTCAGTTTTGAAACGGAGATGAGCACCACCCCCTAGAGCCAGAAACAACTAGCGTGCATGTGTTATAGCACAGTGGTTCTCAACCTGTGGTCCACAATATTGTCACAGGGAGTCTGCAAACTCTTGAAGAAATGTTAGGATCTTGGGTTAAGTCTTGAGGGTCTGTGGTCACAACAGGTATTTAAAGAGGGGTCCATGATAAAATAAAGGTTGAGACCCATTGGTATAGCAGAAAATTTCATCTGCTTTTGAAAAATTGTGTATGACAATCTATGAATGAAATATAGAACAGCTAAGTGGTTGAAAATAGCAAAAGTGGTATGCCAAGCTTGTATCATTTCATCTTGATTAATGCATATGTAGAATACATAAGGAGAAATTTTGGATTAAAAGAATCAGAAACTGGAATTTAGATTGCTGGGAGAACCATCAGCAACCTCAGTTATGTGAATGAAACCACTTCGACAGCAGGAAACAAGGAAGACTTAAGGAATATCTTGTTGGAAGAGAAAGAGGAGAGCAGAAAAGTTAGTCTCCTTGCATAAGATTAAACAGGTTGTTGTTGTTGTTTTATTGAAACAGTTAATATAGTGCCGATTATGCAGCTAGGCAAAGGGATTTAAAATTAATGTTTTAAAATGAAAACATATAAAATAATACCGTACAGCATTAAGTCTCAGTCCAAAAACATTTTATTTTTAGTCCATGTAATCCAGGGCTGACTTCCTACAGGCGTTGGTATCAGTTCACTTCACACGCGCACCAGACACGCGTTGCTCGCACATGCGCAATTCACTGTAAATTGTTCTGTGCATGCGCAAAGACCATGCAAAGCTAATACAACACATGCCAGCAACAGCAGCAGAGACCAGGGAACCAGTTCTGGGGCGTGGCCAGCCTGGGTCGCTGCCGGTTCTGCAACCCAAGCCAAATGACGACTACCAGTTCACCCTAACCAGTGCGAACCGGTAGAAACCCACCTCTGATGTCATCCCAATAAATGAATCCACTTCTAGGGCTGATTCAACCTCTCAGTTCAAAAGTCCAGATCTCAATCAGAATAGAGCTGATAGGTGTCTTGAAATGCCATACAAAAGACCATCTGGCACTCGAGGGATGCTGTTCCATAGGGACAGAGATACTAATGTCAAGATGCAGCTCCAACCCAATGCAAATAGGCGGAGAAGTTGAAGGAGTAACAGTTCTTTAGTTCTCAGACACAAACAATACACAAACATAGTAACCGTAGTAGCAAGAGCAAGCAAAATAATTGATTAAATTTATATACCATTTGACTCACAGAGACCCTGGATGGTTTACAAATTGCTAGAAACATTTAAAAACAAGGAACAAAACAGCAACAACGGAAAACAAAGGACTTAAAGACAGCCGGGAAAACAAATCTGGACAATGAAAAGGGGAAAAAAAGGGATGTCAATCATTCTTGCCAGAGACCTCGGCAAAGAGCATGTCATCAGAGGTATCAAAATGTCAATAAGGTGAGTCCATTCAAATCTTGGGGTGGGGGTGGGGAAACCTCATTTCAGAGGGCCGGCATCGTGATGGAAAAAAGTATGCAATTTTAGGGATGCAATGGATGGCTTTGTACCAACAGAAGAGAGTATTTGTAGCTCAGGATTAAACTGTAGGGTCCTTGGTGCTCTCTGAGCTTGATGGGTTTTTTGAAGGCGTTTCACTACCAAACTAGGTAATATCATCAGTGCACTGATGATGTTACCTCATTCCATTAGTAATGAAGTTTCTGCAAGAAAACCACCAAGCTCAGAGATCCCCTCAGATGGCATTGTTTAATCCTGTGATGGTGAACCTATGGGCATGTGTGCCACAGGTGGCATACAGAGCCCTCTCTGCGGGCACACCAGCTGTTGCCCCAGCCCAGATCCTCTGCACATGCACATTCACCTCCCGTCGGGCATCTGGTCTTTGGGTCTCTACCATGCATGCACAGGGGGCAGGGCGCATGCGCGAAGGGCACTTGCATTGCATTTTGGACCCTTGCTCAGTGCCCGCCTGTGCCCTGTTTTGGCTTCCAGGTCAGTGCAGGAGGTCTTCCAGGCCCAAAACAGGATGCAGGGCGAGGAAAGAACAAAAATGGGTGAGGGGGGGATGGAGTGCATGCACTGGGGAGCAGGAGAGCATGGGGTGTCATGTGCACATATGCAGGAGGTGGGGCACACATTATGGGTGTGGACGTGCACACGATTTCACAACGATGCAACGACAAAAGGGTTAATCATCACTGGTTT